CAAGATATTTCAGATCAAAATCCTCCAAACTGTGCTCTTCAGTTCTCTCTTGCAAATAGACACTTTGTTCCGGACAAAGTGCAAAGTCATATCTCTCCCTTTATAGAGTAACTAATTAGTCTAATTGCTGGTCTGCTCTCCTACTGTAACCTCGTTGGTTCCTCCTTGTCAGGAGACGTCTTGTCCTGACATCTACCCAGCAATCATCCAAATTATCATCTTCTTCACCTGAAGATAACATTTGTTCCTCATTATCACCCGTTCCCGGCTGACCACCTAATTGAAGGGTGGAGGAGTTTGAAGGTTCAAGCCGATCTTGCAAATCAAATGCATTCATCTCCTCCTCATCGTTAGAACTTGCTGATTCATATAAGTCCTCCTCGCTGGAGCTGTCATTCAAAAAACCTGTAGCAGATGCCGGAATCACAACATATTTGTATCTATCTTCATTCTTTTGTATTGGTTTATATAATAGGCTGATGCTTATTAAGCCTCAGTTTTCATTATTATTCATTCTTGGGCTTTTTCTGTAATGTATGCTCTTATCTCATTCCTATCCATCCATTCATAATCCCTAATTTAATGTTTTGTCCATTCATTCAGATTGTTACATGTCCCCCCCCCTCCCCAAATTCTCTGGTTCTTCCATTTGCTATAACTTAACATATCACTATTGCCATCCTAATGACCTGATGAGGCAGAGAGATGTAATTAGGAAGAGGAGATCCCTCAGATAACTTGGTCCAATGCCATGAAGGGTTTTAAAGGTCAAAATCAGCACCTTGAACTGGACCTGGGAGCTTTCTGGCAACTAATGCAGCTTGTGAAGCAGAGTGTAATGTGTACTCCTCCAGGATCACAAATAACTATCTGTACTGCTGCATTTTCTACCACTGAAGCTTCAGGAGGACTCACAGTCCTAAGGATGCTTTCTACTTCCTCAGGTGCAGCAGGTTCAAATCATTGTTGGATAACCCAGCAAAACTCCTCCCAAGGCATCTCCACCGGATATGCAACAGCATCCCACTGAGAATGAATCTGAGTAATTTTATCCAACAGTGCTGGAAAATTCTTCTACATACCCCTGAAAAGTTTCTCCAAGCCTTCCTTACTGAGGGGAAGCTGGGGAGGGGGTGGGCTCATGAAACTTGAAATTACATGCGGTTGCAGTAAGACTGGAGGAGTAATGATGCTTTGCCACACTGATTATCACTAGGCAGGCCTTAAAAGCAGCTCTGGCCTGTATTGATTTGAATTGGTCCTTTACTGAGCACCGGTGGCTCTTGACACCACTTTTCTTCTTCTTCAACTCTTCTGTAAACCACAGACAATGCCAGGATCCCCAAGAGGAGAGCAGTCACATGTAATATATATATTACCTGCATCCCATCAATTCGAATGCTCTTGCAATGTGCTTACACACCCTTAGAATGCCTTCAGACTGTAATTTCAACATTTTGAACCTCAGTTCTTCTTAAATTGTATTCCCACATGTCACTATGCCACTAATTCCTTATCTGCAGAAGTCATATGTTAAAACACCAGAAACTTCCCACCATCCAAATAACATTGCTGTATTTCAGTCTAATGGAATAAATTTGTCTCCAAAAAGCTATTGATTGCACAGTCTTAAAGAATAGTTCCCTAATCTTGGTTAATTCAGCAGCTGTTTGATCTTTTTGAAATTTAAAGAAATATTTTTTTAAAAAACCACCCAGCTGAATCTGGGATGATACCGACCCTGAGGAATTGGCAAACAGAGTATTGGCCTGGAAACCTTACAGATTCACTAATTATCCATAAAAGGATACATGCAAGTACAGATTACACTTAATTGCCTGTTTCATTGTGGATACTTGCCATCAGTGGGGAAGTGATTTAGTCAGATTTCACACATACCACACAAAATATTTTCAGAAGATTGGAGACAGGCAATATGGTTCTTTCAGATCAGACCCAGCATTTACAAGGAAAAATGGAGAAAAGTTTTCCCCCTCTGTATACTTCTGTATATTTCTATCCCCCCACCCCCACCCCGTATATTTATATAAATACAGAATTTGTCCATTGATCTTCAACAATCCCTGGGAGTCATTAGTGTCCAGTATGCTTTGTTCTGCCACAACTCATAGTTGAAGTTGCTAATATTTTCCTCACAGTTGCTGCTGTAGTAGATGACAAACCAAGCAACCTTTGGTGATACATTGAACCTTGGAATTGGTGAGAAGGCAAACCATTGAGTGCCTGATTTGTAAAAGGCAATGCCTAAGACTGCTGCCTCCTAAATAAGCTCTCCATCTAGTTTATTTTACTTTATTTTATTGTCACTGCACCTCGTATAACAAAATCAAACACCCTCTTCAGTGCACATCATGACCATGACCATGAAAATAAACACAAACACACATCCTTCACCCTCCACACATTGAACTGAAAACCCCCAACATAGCACCAATACTGCACTATATAGCAGAATTCAAAAGAGCTACTGCCCTGGGATAGAAGCTGTTTTCAGCCTATTTGTCCTTGTTTTTATTATTCTGTACCATCTGCCAGATGGTAATAATTCAAAAAAAGGGTGCCCAGGATGAGATGGATCTTTGAGAATGTTTTGAACTTTCTTAAGGCAGTGGGAGCTATAAAGCTCTTCCAAAGAGGGGAGAGGGCAACCAATGATCATATGGGCAATGACGTTAACCTTCTGGAGTGCTTTCCTATCTGTCACTGTGTAATTGGCAAACCATACAAAGGTGCAGTAAGTTAAAATACTCTCTATGGTGCAGCGGTAGAAGGTCACCAGCAGTTTTTCATTCAGTTGTTGTTTTCTGAGAAGCCTCAGATAGTATAATCTCTGCTGGGCCCTTTTGACAAGTGCTGCAATGTAAGCACGCCAGGTCAGGTTCTCTTTTATGGTAACACCCAGAAACTTAAAACTGGCCACTTGTTCCACTCGGTCTCCATTGATAAGCAAGGGCTGGATGTCTGATCTTTCCTTCTATAGTTCACTATAAACTCCTTGGTCTTATTGGTGTTGAGGACCAAGTTATTGTCTCCACACCACGAAACCAACCGGTCCACCTCATCTCGACAGGTAGACTCATCCGCCCTGGAGATGAGTCCCATCACTGTGGTATCATCTGCAAATTTAGCAATAGTATTACTAGCATGAATGGGAATGCAGTCATGCACATAAAGAGTAAAGAGTAAGGGACTCAACACACAACCCTATGGTGTACCAGTGTTAAGAAAAAGGGCTGAAGAGGTATGATTACCTAATTGGACCCTCTGTGAGTGGCCAGACAGGAAATCCATAATCCAAAGGCAGATTGAATAAGAAAGGCCAAGGTCCAGAAGTTTAGACACTAATCTATGTGGAAGAATTGTGTTAAATGCAGAACTAAAATCTACAAAAAGCATCCTCACATAGCCCTCCTGTTGTTCTAAATTTTCAGTTCCAGTTTTTCTGCACCACAGCTTCTGCCGTCTGCCTGCTAGTCTATATTTCAGGGAAGATGGGCTTACATCAAGCAATGGTCTCTATGTTTGAAGAATGTTAGATGTAGGACCAAATTTATTCCTTTAATAAAGATGATGTTGGAATGTGCTTTAAAATGTTGGAATGTGCTTTGCTTTAAAATTATAATTCTTTTTTTAATGGGGTAAGACAGTCAGTAAATAGACATCAAGGTTACTGTGGGCCACAAGCATCATACAACTAGCACGGCAAAAGACACCTTTTCTGTTCTTACCTTCACTTTAAGTCATAAATAGAGGAACAATAGAAAGAGCAATCTGAGTTGCCCCTTCATCTCTCATAGGGAATGTTGCTAGGGCAAGATGCACATGGAGACCCACAGCCTCTGAGATAAGCCTATGTGGGAAGGTCTTTCTGTGTATCATGGCCAGAGAAGAAGGACAGGATGAAATAGCAGCAGCCTGGAAGGGACAGAAAAAAAGAAAATGTTCTTTTTTGGGTTGGAATGAAATCTAGTCCAAAAGAATACTCAAATTCATATGCTAATCTTTGAATTGAAAACAGCATCACATTTTATTTCATCTTCAACCTTTGACAATTGTGTAGGTTTTGGCAGATTATCTTGGCATCAGTTCTTCCATAGTTAACTGATCTCACCTGTCAATAAGTTTGTTCTTCAGAATATTCACTCATAGTCAAGCAAAACAAGCCAGGAAAATGCATATTCATCATTTAAAACTGCAGCTGTAAATTATTTACTAAACTATTTATTCCCTACTTTGAACTTCATTGTCTACATTACAAAGGAGGTATGGCTTCCTCGATGAGCATTATATGTTAACCATGTGATGGAAGGAGTAAGCTGCCCATGTAGTATTTTCTGACTGTTTCCTGTCATCCACTTATAGGTGGAATTCTGAAGAGAGGACTTTTCTACAATTATCGTATCGTTCATCGTGTGATTTAAAATCCAGATTGCACAGGAATAGAATTTATGAGGGAGCTTGTTCCATATTAGCATACTTGGAATACCCTTTTCTGATTGGTCAACAGACACTGTACGATGATTGGTTCAAATGCCCAGTTACCATTGGTTCGCTAGAATCGCCTGTGATTGGCACAGCTGATCGCGGGAGATTCAAAGAACTATCATTGGTTGCGAGCCGCGGGAAACCCCGATAAAATGGGCTGCCATGGCTCCAAGATCTTGTACAGATCTATACATTGAAATAAAGAGCTGAAAAGTCACACTGCTCTCCAGTCTCTGTTTCCTGCGATCAAACACTGGCGACGAGGGTGGGATACTGAGACAAAGGAGACCAGTCGAGCACGTGGCAACCAGGACTGACCAACCGACGAGATGGCCGGCAGCAACTCGCCACCCGCACCATTCGACCAAAACGCAGAGGACTGGGAATCGTATATCGATCGGTTCCTCATGTTCCTCGAAAGCAACAACCTGCAGGATGCAACCGACCAGAGGAAGAGAGCCGTGTTCCTGACACACTGCAGGCCCGCAGTGTTAAAAATGGCCAAGGCATTGGCCAAGCCTCGGGACGTGAAAGAGATGGCATGGCCAGTCCTAGACCGGCTACTACGGAACCATTATGCGCCGGCCGTCCCCAACCTCATCCGGCGGCACAAATTTTATAAATGGGACCAGAAAGAAGGGGAAAGCATCGGAGACTTCGTAGCGGCTCTGAGGAACATCAGAGGTGCGTGTGGGTTCTCCAATATGGACGAGACCATGAGGGACCGCATGGTTTTCGTGCTAAGAGACCCCACACTCCAGAGCCGGCTGATGACCCGACCAGACATCACGGTCACCGAAGCCATCGCTGAGGTCACTGCAGCTGAAGCCATGAAGGAATGCGGCACATGAACACGGCAGCCACAATGTGGCAAATGAATGCGGATGCCTGGCAAACACCAATGGAAGCAAGCCCGCCCCTGGAAAAGATATTGGAGTTAAGCCAAAAAGCCACCACCACGACCGCACACCACGAGGACGTCAATTCCCTTTCCGAGACCGAGGATGAGGAGGAAGAAATCCACAGACTCCAATCGGAATGAGACAGACAGGAGCGGAGAGGTCGTAAGTCGGGGTTTCAGTGCGCCGGGTGCAGAGGAGACCACCCCAGTTCAAAGTGCCGGTTCCTAGACACCATTTGCCGACACTGTGAAAAACGGGGACACATCGCCAGGGTCTGCCAGAATAAAAAGAATTACAGCCCGAGGTGACATGACGGCACCCCCCCCCCAGGACCAGAGACAGGCACGCAGAAAGCCATTGGAGCCACGAAGGCAGAAGCAAGCGGCTCAGCGAAAACCGCCGGAGGGAAGAAACCCACCAGACGGTCACCATCGGGCACTCGAGCGCAACTGATGCCCACAAGGTACACGTTCAGGTCGGCATTGAGGGCCAGCAGTGTAACATGGAGGTGGATTCCAGATCCTACCTATCTATGGTATCCTGGAACACCATAAAGCATCTAGTACCCAGCATACGCAGACAGGAGCTAGAAAATCAGAGACTGACCCTCAAGGACTACCAGGGGAACAGGATCCCCGTAGTCGGAATCGGACACTTTCACATAACTTTTAAAGGGCACGCAGAAATACTCCCTCTAACCATCATGGATAGAGACTGCCCAAGCCTGCTGGGGCTTGAATGGTTCGCGCCGTTGGGGATTGAAGTGACAGGCATCCACTGCGTCACTGGGACGGACTGCGAGGAGAACCTAATGTGGGACTTCCAGGAAGTATTCGACAGGAAGCTAGGCAAATACCATGGGTCCCCTATTTCATTTAATTTGAACCCCAACATAGCCCTGATCCGTCTAAAGCCTAGGCGGGTCCCTTTCGCGCTCAAACCAAAGATTGATGAGCAATTGGACAAGCTCATCGCACAAGGGGTCCTGGAACAAATAGACCATGCACGGTGGGAAACCCCAATAGTAACCCCAATCAAGCCAGACGGGTCCGTGAGAATCTGCGGAGACTATAAGGCCACCCTCAACCACGCATTACAGCAGAGTGCATTCCCTGTGCCAGTGGTACAGCACCTTCTGCACTCATTGGGGGGAGGAAAGATCTTCGCAAAGCTCGATCTGGCGCAGGCATACCAGCAACTGCCAGTCAACCCCGAAACAGCCGAGGCACAAACCATTGTGACCCACAGGGGGGGCATTCCATTGCAAAAGGCTCCAATTCGGAGTCAGTGTGGCCCCAGGAATGTTCCAGAGTTTGATGAAACGGTTGTTACAAGGAATAAAAGGGGTGGTGCCCTATTTCGATGACATGCTGGTCTCTGCCAAAGACAAAAGCCAATTGGAAAGTCGCCTCAGAAAAGTCCTGCAAAAATTTAAAGAGGCAGGACTCAAGGTAAAAAAAGAAAAGTGCCAGCTATGCACCGAGAAAGTGGAATTCCTGGGGTACTTAATTGACAAGAAGGGGATCCACCCCACCGAGAAAAAAATTAAAGCCATCAAAGAAGCCTCCAGGCCACAGAACAAAACTGAACTACAGGCATTCCTATGACTTATTAACTTTTATAATGTTTTCTTGCCACAGAAGGCAACAACGGCGGAGCCTCTACATAGACTGTTAGACAAGACTGCCACCTGGTCCTGGGGGAAGTGGGAAGAAACAGCATTTCAAAGAGTAAAAGACCTGCTGACATCGGAATCGGTCCTTATACAATACAGTGAAACCCTACCGCTGACCGTGACCTGCGACGCATCTCCATTCGGCGTCGGAGCCATCCTGAGCCACACACTACCGGACGGGAGAGAAGCGCCAATCGCATTCTACTCCAAGACATTGTCCAGGGCAGAGAGGAACTACAGCCAACTGGACAGGGAGGCGCTAGCAGCGATCACCGGAGTAAAGCGGTTCCATGAATACCTGTACGGTAGGACTTTCTCCCTCATCACTGATCACAAACCACTCCTGGAAATACTGGCAGGGAACAAGGCCACCCCAAACATATTGTCACCACGGATGACAAGGTGGTCCGAGTTCCTTGCCGCCTATAACTACCAATTAATCCACTGGCCAGGGAAAAGCATTTCACATGCTGACGCCCTGAGCCGCTCCCCCCTCCCTGACCTGGAAGATGACCCGGCACCCACCACGTCCATACTACAAATAGAGACATTACCCAACCTACCCATGACTGCGTTGGACATTGCAAAAGAGACCACAAAAGACAGACAATTAGCGTGGGTTTAAAATTGGGTAGGAAGAGGGTGGCCGGAAACTGAGGGCGGTGAGACGTTTAAACCTTTCCGCAACCGACAAACCGAACTGTCAATTCTAAAGGGATGCATACTGTGGGGGGACAGAGTTGTCATTCCGGGAAAAATACAAACAAAAGTGCTGGGCATGCTACATGAAGGACACCCGGGTATCGTCAAAATGAAATCCCTGGCCAGGAGTTATGTCTGCTGGCCAGGGATGGACAAAGACATTGAGACATGGGTGGCAACATGCGGCAAATGCCAGAAATCCAGACCTAACCCCCCTTCCGCTCCTTCCCTCGAGTGGGAGACACCTAGGGGCGAGTCCATATAGATTTTGCGGGACCTACAAAGGGACATACATTTTTAATAACAGTCGACGCTTACTCCAATTGGCTGGAGGTCAGCGTCATGCAATCCACAACAACAGAGGCCGTCATCAAACAATTAACAAAACTCTTTGCAACCCATGGATTACCGGACTTGCTAGTTTCAGACAATGGGCCGCAATTCACAGCGTTGTCATTCGAAAAATTCCTAGCTGAACAAGGCATACGGCATGCCTTAACAGCGCCCGCTCAAACGGTGGCGAATGGTAGGGCAGAACACATGGTTAGGTACACCAAAGACACATTAGATAAAATGGACATGGGAGACATACAAGACAAAATAAATAAAATGCTGACAATATAACACATAACACCCAGCACATCAACAAACAAAAGCCCAGCAGAACTCCTGATGGGCAGGAAACTACAATCACAATTAGACAGATTGCACCCAACATACAACTCCGAAAAACCGCCAGATTCTTCCAGTAAATACCGCATATTTACACCAGGGGATTTAGTATATGCAAAGAATTTTATGGGGGACCCACTCTGGATACCAGCCAGAATAACCCAGGTAACGGGCCCCCGGTCGTACCGGCTGGAAACGGAAGATGGAAGAAACTGGAAAAGGCACATCGACCAACTGAGGTCGAGAACAGCCGAAAGAAACACCGACAACACGGAAACACCACACACACAAAAACCACACCAAATAGAGTATAATAAAAAAAAAACAGAGGGGGGGGGAGAATCCCCAAACATTAACCAAAAGGGAGGAGAAAACCCTCTGATAATACAACGACAAACGGAACACCCCCCACCAACACCAATAGGCCCCAAAATAAACCAACACTACTTACCGGCAGACGACTTCGGCAGAAGGGAACCGACAGAAGATTACCAACATGAGACCTCTCCTGGAAGAAACAGCCAAGCCAGCTCTACCAGCCCGGAAAGACCAGGCGGGAGCGGCAGAGCCGCCGACTGGGCCGACCCAGGTAGACCGGGTGGGAGCAGCAGCAGCAGGCCTGACTCACCCTTCCAGGAGGTTCCACCAAGGAGGACCTGAGAAACAGCGATCCCGTCCGAACCCGCCGAAGGCAACAACACAACTGAGCTGCGCAGGTCAAGTAGGAACACGAAGAGCCCTGCCTACTTACAGGACTACGTTACGTAGGTTGGACTGGACCAAGAGGGGAGGGGTGTTCCATATTAGCATACTTGGAATACCCTTTTCTGATTGGTCAACAGACACTGTACGATGATTGGTTCAAATGCCCAGTTACCATTGGTTCGCTAGAATCGCCCATGATTGGCACAGCCGATCGCGGGAGATTCAAAGAACTGTCATTGGGTACGAGCCGCGGGAAACCCCGATAAAAAGGGCTGCCGTGGCTCCAAGATCTTGTACAGATCTATACTTTGAAATAAAGAGCTGAAAAGTCACACTGGTCTCCAGTCTCTGTTTCCCGCGATCAAACAGAGCCTAGATATGAACACTTGTTCCCAGATGTATAAATGCTTTCTGTGACATTGCTTTGAGCTTTTTTCCCCTACTCCATCCATGGATGAATGGCTAACAGGCTGGGGAGATGAAACACTACACCACATCACATGCTTTGTTATAGTCCATATTATAATAAAGAGAAGGCCTGGAGATACATGGTATGCAGCTTTGCCTATTATGTCCCTTATAACATTTAGAAGTTATTTATGAACTTCACATCATCCATGACATGATACTGAATGTACAGGTTCATATAAGCAGAACATGAAACTAATGATAGGATATGATACCCTTTAATTGACTGCATGTGTTCATGTATCTAGTATGCTCAATTTCCATCAGTAATATGGTTTGTGAGCCTTTTTGGTAATTTTCCTGTTTGTTTTCAAAATGTTTGTTATTGCCAGCTTTGTCTCTTGATTTTATTTTCCCAGGCTGCTTGGGCCATGCTGCCAAAGGAACACAAAATCCTGTCCTCTCCATCCATTTGGAATGCCAGGAAAATCAATATGACCAAAGAAATCAGTGAGAAAATATGATTGGAACATGGAACTATGTAGTGAGCAAAATACCCACCTGCTATTTACTGCAGTAAAGCAGCCAATGTTTCTGTCCAAGTTATCCTTAGCATTTTGGGACCTTTAAGAGATAAGCAAGCAAATGGTCAATTATCTGATTTTTAATTTTTGTGTGCTATTAATAATCAATTTGCATGCTTTATTATGCCTGAATTCACTTTCAAATGCCAAGTCTGTGGATGATTTATGCTATCAGCATTCCAACTAATAAACGCCAAACCAATAAACTCTGAGACAAGCATTTTCTTAAAGTTCCATTTTATTACAACTGTCATATTGGCACATCTGGGAAAACCCGAATCTGAGAGTTCTGGGTTTTCCTTGCATAATTAAAAATCAAAACCCATCCCCTGCACCCATCAATCCATCACATGATCCAATCATCCATCATCCCAACTGGAGACATTCCTCCAACCACTTCTTTCCAGGCGCAGGGTAACTTTCCTTGACTTTATGAGAAGAATGTTGTTATGTCTAAACTTCTACCTCTATATGAAATCCTCCCTCCCAAATTCCCAGGCACTAAGATGTGGCAGCGTGGAAGCTTCTAAGTAAAATATGGCTTCCAAAGCTGACATATCCATGAATAAGGTTAAGGCAGAATCAGACATTGTGAGAACTCAATTGCTTTAGGATGGCTTGTCTCCTTTTTATTGTCAGCTTAGCTAATAGATTAACAGAGTTGGAAGAAACCTTGTAGGTCATCAAGTCCAACCCTCTGTCCAAGCAGGAAACCCTACACAATTTCTGACAAATGGCAGTCCAATCTCTTCTTGAAAGCCTCCAGTGATGAAGTTCCCACAACTTCTGAAGACAAATTGTTCAATTGGTTGATTGTTTTCACTGTCAGAAAATTTCTCCTTATTTCTAGGTTGAATCTCTCCTTGATCAGTTTCCATCCATTATTCCGTCTGGCCTTCAAGTGCTTTGGAAAATAGCTTGACCCCTTCCTACCTGTAGCAGCCCCTCAAATATTGGAACACTGCTGTCATGTCTTCCCTGGTCCTTCTCTTCACTAAACTAGGGTTGCCCAGTTCCTTTTATATATTATATTATATATTATATTACATTTGTTTATTTATTTGTTTGTTTGTCAAACATGTACAAGATAACAAGTGTAGGTATGAACATAAATATGAACGAAGGAACTAAATACAGATAAATGGGGACAGTAAAGATAGGGATGCTGGTGCACTTATGCATGTCCCCTTTATATAGTCCTTTGCACAAGAGAAAGGTCAAATAGAATCATTGTATGATTTTTAAGGAATTTTCACAAAGTTAGTTCTTTTCTGTAGAGAAAAGTATATGGACCCCTCCTCCTGGGTGACATGAACTTGTGTGACTAGGCCTTGGGTTTCTTTCACTGATGCAC